TTCTGTTAGCACGATATCTCAAAATTGCCGCGAACTACGCACATGTCCACTTCAACGAACATTTGGCTTGGCTTGGAATAGTCACAGTAAGCTTTTCAACACGCTCGGTCATGCGTGAAGTCATCTACGCGCAATTTTGGGTTTTTACATAATTGGTCATAGCCTAACAAATTGCCATTTCGAAATCGTATTAATTAAGCATTAACTTCAGGTTAATGTTGAATGTACTGTAATGTACCCTAATTTTACGCGTGCGCTTCATAACGCATAATGTTTTCACCATGCGCCGAGAACATACGAAAGCTAGAAATTATGTTTTTGGTTTTTTTTTACATATTTTGGGTTCCTGACATTGATTTCACACATTTCCAATAACAATGACTGCATCAAAAATAGTGAACTTTGCGCGCGTTTGTGCCGATATACAGTGAAATTATGCTAAATTCAGGCCGATTTTTAAACAGTTATCCTTAGGATGAAAGGTGACCCCCCAATTTTTGTTATATATTCTGAAAGCACATGAGTTGTAAATGTAATTTTATAGATCATAATGGCTGATCAAACTTTGTGACGTCATCATATTGCCATCTGAATTCAAAAAATTAAATTTTATCTATGACGTCATTTTTTAAAATACGCATTTGAGCATATCTTGTTTATCCTTGATCGATCGTCTCCCAACTTTGAGTATGTTATAGCTGAGACAATTCTCCTTCATGTATGTGACTTCTTCTTACATTTTGATGATGTCATCATGGTCAAAATAAATGTTTTTTTCTGACCCCCCCCCCCCTAATCTTTCTTTCCTCAAAACTTTGATGACCCCATAATCATCCTAATCATTCATCATTTCCGAATAATTAAATAGGCATACAATTTAGGTTAAGGTTGAATGTCAGGTATCTTAATTTTCCAACAATTATATATATGCTTAAAATTATGCCTATTTTTAATCAATTATTACTCCTTAGGATGAAAGGTGATCCCCAATTTTTATTACATATTCTGAAAGCACATGGGTTATAGATAAGATTTTATAGATCATTATGGCTGATCGGACATTGTGACGTCATCATATTGCCATCTGAATTCAAAGAAACTTAATTTTCATCTATGACGTCATTATTTTTCTATATATTTGAATGTATCTCGCGGCATCCTTGATTGATCGTCTTCCACCTGTGAGTATGTGATAGCTGAGACAATTCTCTTCCAGAAGTGTCCCTTTATTTTTCATTTTGATAACGTCATCATGGTCAAAAAGAATAAATTTTTGGAGCCCTTTTATCTCTCTTTCTTAGATGATATAAAAAAATACCACAACAGAGGGCAGCAGACTGTATTTTGACGCTATCAGACGGATAAATAATTCACATAAAGGGAAAATTTGTGTGGCATTACCAACAGGCGGTTTTAAAAACATTTGACAAGGTTTAATTTTGTGTGCCATTACCGTCCATGCGCACATCGTAACGTGCGCGTGCGATAAAATGTGAAAATTTTCAATATCACTTTTCAGATGATTTAAAGCATGTTCATTTCCACGTGCACAGCACATACTGAAGCTGGAAATTACGTTTTATTACGTATATTTTGGGTTCCTGACACTGTATTCATATCAGGAGTCAACTTTTTGTGCCATTGTGCTCACACGCATGCGTAAATCTTTTAAAATTCTCAAAATTACTTTTTTTTTAAATGTGAAAATTTTCAATATCACTTTTCAGATGATTTAAAGCATGTTCATTTCCACGTGCACAGCACATACTGAAGCTGGAAATTACGTTTTGTTACGTATATTTTGGGTTCCTGACACTGTATTCATATCAGGAGTCAACTTTTTGTGCCATTGTGCTCACACGCATGCGTAAATCTTTTAAAATTCTCAAAATTACTTTTTTTTTAAAAGTAATTAGAGCATATTTTAGCATATAAAACTTTTCAATCAGCACTGCGCGTGTCTCTTATACACATCTAGATGTGTATAAGAGACAGGTGATAGTATTAGCCATGAATGATATTCTTGACTTAGACCTAGACTTAAAAAGTACCTCAGCCTGCGACAACTCCACCGACTGGAGCAATATGCATGTGATGAAGGTACCGTACCTTGACCAGGGCCCGGAGCAGGGAAGGAGATGTTATGCCTCGACTATATACTGTATATCTCTGTAGTTGAGTAGATAATGAAGTAGAAAATGTCTTGCGATCTCGATAGATGTAAACAAACCCTAATACCCATTATAAGTCATGTGACCCGAGCCACCTATTCGGTCTATTGGAAAATCAGATTTTAAATATACAAAGTACTGGTTTTTCTGATTAATTACTATAAATGGTGCTATAATTATTATTATACAATATAAATTTTATATAATCAAATTTTTTTAATGTGAAGTCTCTGCAAGCGATTGACGATGCTACACTTGCTGATTGTTGGTGGTAGAATGGAGGTATTATATAATAGCTCTATGGTTGTACAGTAGTCTAAGTGTTGTTGTGCATCGTTTTCAAACAAATTGAATACATTGTCATTCGACAGAATATAGAATTTGCATGAAAACAAACACTTTACCTGAAGTATAACACAATTGTTAAAAACAATCTTATGTTTTCCTTAGAATTGTATTTGCCAACAACTGGAGTACAGTAGATCCCTTAATTATACAATAGCCATAATAATACCCATAGATGTGCAACTTCTTAGTGAAGAGTATTACTTGTAAAAGACTTAATATTTTCAATTTTTAAACACAATACATTATACTTTGTATGTGTGGATATTTTCTTTCATGTTATGTTATATATTAACTGTATGTAATATTTTTTTTAAGGTTTTAATTTATATCTTATTCATATTTGGTGTTCCTCTTCGTGATCTCTACCAGTTGACTGGTGCATTCACATCACAGTCTGATCAGATGCCTATATTTTTTTAAATATATCTGTAGGTTCATAAATAAAGAGTAATTTGTGTATGAAAAACAAATGAGAAAGAAAAGAATCTGATGGAAATTGTATTGTAGCTTCTCTTATTTTATTTCTATATCGGTTTGTCTCTTGGAGATTTACATTACTGATTGCAGGCAGTGTAATTTTTGCCCACATTTTGCACCCACTGTCTAAATTTTAAACAGAAGAAGCTCTGCCTGCGAACTGTACTGTACTGACATATATTGGAATACTGTTTTATATAATTTATATCCAACCTCAAACAAGACATATATCACTGTTTACACAATACAGATGAGGCTTGTCATGGCAAAATGGCACAAATCAGTATTGAGTATTTGTATAAAATAGGCAAGCTCAAACAATAATAATCAAGAGTTTGATCATGTCCCAGAGACTAAAATTCTGGAATCGGTCAATAAAACAGTTATTTCATGTTTATTAAGGTAGTTAATACCATTAAAAATGTACAGTATGCTTGATTATTGTAGAATGTGACTAAAGTCAGTGCTAAACCTAGGCACTGACTAGACCCAAAATAGGTTAACAAACGGGACTTGCAAATGAGACAATGTTCAGTCCTCAGTCTCTGGGTTAGTCAAGGCGAGTCGGTTATAAGCCTACTAATTACCGTCAACAAGCATGACCCAGGCAAGTTGATAGTGCCTCAACCAACACAGTTGTATAAGTAGGCGCTGGTTCAACGGCACGCTTATGATAATACGCCAGGTACTTGGCAACTGTTTTATGATGATTTTGAAATACTTAAATAAGATAACTGAGAAATAATTGGAGGTCTTCGTTAAACGAAAACCCTTTAAAATTTCACAGACGACCAAAAAAATTTGTGATTTTGAGAGAGCCTGGCGTATTATCATCAAAATAAAGGAGAAAAAAATAGGGGTCTTCATTTTTGGGTCTTGGGTCTTCGTTTTATAGACACCGTTCTGGTGGTGTAACAAGTCATATTCTCGGATAAGGACTAAAAACCGTAGGCCCAGGTAATTTGGCTTGTGTGCACTGAAAAGAACCCAGTACATTTTTCTTTGAGACGAGTAGGGGGTTACCCCGGTGTTCACTGGTTAGACAAAAAGACCCTTAGGGGAGACGAAAGTTACTGTATGAGCTAGTCCACACCTCATTCAAGCACTTTGAGACTCCTATAAGGCCCATAAAAATTATTAGTTTATCGCCCTATCAAAGAATAAAAACTGATGAGGAAGGGAGGTTTTTTTCCCCAACCTCGCCCCATTTTACCGATGTTGACAAGTAAATCAATTATTAGGGGACACATACATTAAAAGTCATTAGATATGAAATCAAATTTATATTTAAAAAATATGTTTTTGTTGTACCAATAAA